GTTGCTCGGGAAGCCCCATTGAAGTATAATTGCCACACTCGTTGATGTGAGGTGATATTAACTTCGTGAGTTTCATCCGGCAGATCGTCGTACAACTCCACTACATCTTTCGTAGGGTTTTCCGCCAAAAGATCGCAAATAGCTTGTCGCTTAACTGATTTTTGTTGCTTGAAGTACAAATTATATTGCGATAATAGTAGAACCCACGTGGCTAAACGCCAATTCATGAAAGCCGGTTGGGTCATGAATACCCGGATTGGGTTTATGTTGGAAATGATATAAATTGTCTGTCCAACCAAATAATATCGCATTTTTTGGATTGCGAATCATTTTCTGGATTGCGAACACCAGTGCGAGGCATTCTTTCTCGATCATTGGATAACGAGATTCAGCTCCAACCAGTGTGCGACTCAGATAATATACAGCTTGTTCGTGACCGTTATCGTCATCTTGTGCAAGTAATGCACTTAACGAATGGCTCGTCGCTTTGACATAAATCAAAAACGGTCTGCCTAATTTTGGTGCAACGAGAATAGGTGGATTCGTCAGATATTTCTTAATATCTTCGAATGCCTTTTGGCATGCTTCATCCCAAACGAACGACACGCCTTTCTTCGCGAGTTTAGAGAACGGTTGATATTTTCCAGACAGATTTGATATAAACCGACGGATATATGCCAATCGACCTTGTAACCCTCTGAGTTCTTTAAGACTCCTCGGGGGTTGTAATTCATGTATCGCCTTAACCTTATCAGGATTGATATGAATACCTATTGTGGTGACGACGAAATTTACCGCTGGACATTCCAAGGAAGGACTTAGTTGGGTTCATCTTTAACTGATGAGTCCTCATAAGTTCGAACATCGTCTTCAGATCTTTAATGTGGTCGTTTTTATCACGACTCTTAACGATCAGGTCATCAACATAGCACTCGACGGTCTTCCGAAGGTGCTCTTGAAAGATCTTCGTCATTGCTCGTTGGTACGTAGCACCAGCGTTCTTCAAACCAAAAGGCATAACAGTGTAACAGAAGACACCAAGGGGTGTTCTGAATGTTGTATGTTTTTCATCGTCCGGGTGCATTTTGATCTGATTGTACCCAGAAAATCCATCCATAAACGACATTCTCTCGAATCCGCATGTGTTGTCAATAATAACATCTGTAATTGGTAGAGAAAAATCATCTTTAGGACAAGCTGTATTTAGATCTCTAAAGTCAATGCAGATTCTGATCTTTCCGTTCTTTTTAAGAACTGGAACGATATTGGCTAACCATTCAGGATGTTGTTCTTCTCTGACAAAACCCGAATCAATTAGTTTCTTGACTTCAGCTTCTATTGCCTCCATAATCTGCGAACGAAACCGTCTTTGTTGTTGTTTGATAGGTTTGACATCCGGTTTAATGTTAAGGCTGTGCATTGCTACATTTGGATCGAGTCCTGGCATATCTTCGTAATTCCAAGCGAAAACGTCGATATACTCTCTAATGAGGGCGACTAATTCTTCTTTTTCATCTGACGGAAGATCACCACTAATAAATATAGGTTTCGGATTGCTTTCGTCACCAATATTAACTTGGATTACTTTATCCTCAGTAGGAGGTTCCTTTTGCTCAAATCGATCGCCGTATTGGATATTCATGTAATGCATCCAAGGATCTTCCCAAGTGGGTAACTGATCATCTCCTTCTGTTGTGGAATGATCAATTATCGCCATGTTCGATATTAGGGTTTTGAATCTTTCTCCAATGCTCACGTCAGAATCCCAGGTTGAAGCATCGGATGAATGTCCACTCTTATTTATTAGTTGGCTAATAATCTGTTGGCCATATTCGTCATCAGATGACGAAGCATAACCCAGACCCTTTTTATGATTGTAATAATTATCCGGTTTTTCTTTTGGTACATAGGCGGGACGGGGTGGAACCCTGACACCTTGACCAAAATGAAGACCTTCACCAAGCGAGAGGTCATAACCTTGGCTCGTCATGTAACCATTCGCTTGTGAACTGTACCGAGAGAAATGTCGCCCGGGTTCTTCTTCATCCGAATTAATATTCAAGAAAAAAATCTGGAGTAGGGGATGATTCCCCTTTTCCAAAGACTATTTCTTTTTCACCCCCTGTTTTTGCGGGTAGGATCATAGTCGTTCCGGATGAACTTTGGATATGTTTCGTTATCGTACAAGACGAACGAAGTCGCATATGTAGACTAGGGTCGTCATACAATTCTTGTATTACATCATCGAGATAACGTGAGTACTCTAAATCATCATTTATTATTTCATCGGCAAGCTGCCAGTTACAACTTTCATCCGACGAATTATTACCGTCAAGATCGATTACAAGAGGTTCAATGTCGTTTAGCACAAGACAACTTTCATCCGACGAATTATTACCGTCAAGATCGATTACAAGAGGTTCAATGTCGTTTAGCACAAGACATTCACTATAATCGAGCCCAACTTCGGTATCAGCTTCCTCTCCGCTGTCCGTACCATGGGCCGATGGTTTAGTATCGGATTCAGCACCATAAAAAAGGGAGTCAGTAAAGTAATTTTCTAACCCCTTGAATGGTTGTTTATCCGCGACCACCGTCTTGACCTCATTATTAGTGTCGACATATTTCAGACACTGATGGAGGGTAGAGGGAACTATAAGATTACTGTGGATCCATGGGCGACCCAACAGTAAATTATAGGAAGTCTCTGCATCGATTACATAGCAGGTGACTTCAGACTTCAAGTCTCCGAGTTGACACTTCACTCGGATTTTTCCCAACGGTCTTGATCCACTAGTATTGAATCCGTAGATGACAGTTCCCGTGGAGGCTAGCTTGCTGGCGGGAATTCCGAGGTGGTACATCAATCGTAGCGGCATAATGCTGACAGCGGAACCCGGGTCAACTTGGATCCGGTTGACAACGCTCGAACCGATATATCCAGTAAAATATAAAGGCCTGTCATGTTTTGAATTCCTGACTTGCATATCTTCTTTCGTGAAAGCAATGCAAGAAAACTTTGTGGTTGCTAAGTTGCAGTGTTGAATTGATGATTCTGGTTCTTCAGGAGTTGGCTTAATTTGAGTGAGAAATACTTCGGAGTCAGCCAAGGCTTCTTGTAAAGCCTCTCTGGTATCTTTAGAAAGACACAGTAATTCGTACAACGTGATCTTTGCTGGGATATTAGCTAACTGAGCCATGACGTCGAAACGGTATGGGGTATTCGAGCTTTCCGGTTTATCTCGTCCAATCGGTCGATTGAAACAAGACTGCTTCGGAACTTAAACCTCTTTATGTTGGGGTTCCTTTTCTTTTTGTTTAGCCGGTTGTTGCGGCTTCCTAGCAGCTACAGGAGGAGTTACAACTACCCCCAGCTCCGTAAGAGTTTTAGCATTTGGATTAGAGGTTTCATGATATTTATAATGGTATTCATTCCCACCTCTTGTAGCAATGTTGCCTAGGTACGGGTACGGGTGCGGGTACGGGACACGACAAATTTGTAAAAAGTAGGGTACGGGGACACGGCTGTATATATATAAAATAATTCACTTTAGAGTTTAGATCAATATTGAATTAAATACCTATTATATTTTTATTGTTTGTTATGTAAAGTGGAGATTATAAATAAGAAACTAAAGGAAAGTGCATGTTGCAGGTGTGAATGAAGACGGCGGGATGACAATGATCTCTTGGAGTTTTGAAGACAAAAATGTTAAAGAAGACAAGAAAGAGAAGAGGAATATATAGAAAAATAGATCAATTTGTATGTTATATACTTATATTATTATGTAACATTGGCTTGTATAATAAATGACAAATGTAAGTTATGTAACTAATTTGAAGATAATTCCAAATTTTAATTTTCATTACTTTCATCTTGAGCATACAAAAATACAAGTCTACCTTGCAAAACGAGAGTTAAAAATTACAAGCATATCGTTATAAGTTAGAACTGTACCCCAAAATATTACAAGCATCCCTCAAAATATTACAAGTATATTGTTTAAAGTTGCAAATATACCTCCAAAAGTTAGATTTATATCCCAAAAACTTACAACTCACTAGCATATTCCAAAAGTTAAAACTATATTCCTTGCACCGGTTAGAAGACAATCAACATTCAACATTTTCATACTCATTAAATACAACAGTCTCAAGCTCCGGCTCGTCAAGAGAAAGGTTTGCAACTTCTAAAATATCGGCACCATTGAATGATTCAAATTCATCTCCTCCTATGTCCCACATCTTTGTCTCCCCTTCAGAGTATTCCGAGGATCTCCTAGAAAGAAGACGAAGATTTGTGTGAACATATACCAAATCTTCCGCTCGTTGTGGAGCCATCTTATTCCTCTTAAGAGAATGAATAAATTTGTAAGTGCTCCAATTTCTCTCACAACAAGAAGAGGAACAAGGATGCCCAATCAACTTTAATGCTAACTCTTGCAATTTTGGTGTAGATGTTCCATAGATAACCCACCAAGTCTTTGCATCCATTTTCCCCCTATCATCCAAAGAGTCATGATCCGCAAATATACCTTGTGCGGCGGAAAATTAAGCAAATTCCACATTAACCATTCTCCGCTCCTCGGAGTTAGGAAAATAACTCTTCAAGCATTTACCTCTTTCATTTGAGATCTCGGGATCCATGTGTGGTGCAACTCGATTCGGGGCTTCAATGAGCCAAGTCGCACTATAATATCTACAAGATATAAAAACATTCATAAATAATATCAACTATTAAAAGACTAACCAATATAAATTAAAAGTTTATTTGAGGGAAAAAATGCTCACTTTGGATTTAGTGAATGAGCTAGGCAATGTAATGGTGTATTGCTCTTATTCCACCGATCAACAAGGATAGTATGTACCACATTGTAAAATGATGAATATTCATCATCTCTTTTGCTTTCTTTTCTATAAATGCAATTCTTCATTTTTTCAATCATAGAATCCCACATATCATAAACTAATTGAAGATTTGACTTGTCGGTGTCGGCGGATCAAACCATGTTGTAAATTGGTTCGGTAAAAGAGATAACATATTCTATTTTATCCCACCAAATATCATCCAAAATTTTGCCCTTAACAAATTGAGCCCTCCCAACATTATCATCTCGATAAAGACTCCAACTCTCACTAATGACCATGTCCATAAGGCCACGTTTGATCTTCTTGAATCGTCGCAACATGATAACAACCGAAGCAAAACGAGTTTCGGCTATAGTAAGCAATTTTAAATTCACATATTCATTGAACATTGCCAATCTCATGGAATGATTCATTATGAAGTTTCTTATAACAACAACATCATCGCTAACTTCGGTGATCCAACAACATTCCTCATACACTACCTCATTTCTTTCGGTATTCTTCGCCGCACAAATATTTTTTAAGGCAAGGTTGAGTGTGTGGACAACACATGGAGTCCAAAAAATATGAGGATGTCTTCCTTGCACAATACCTCCCGCGGATTTGCAAATCGGTGCATTATCGGTTATGACTTGTACAACATTATGAGGACCAACCTCTTCAATGGCTTTCAAGAGAATATCGGCTATATAATCCATATTCTTAGTTCTCCCCTCCGCATTGACGGCATTCAAGAACATCGTTCCATCTTCGGTCACCGCCATCACATTAATGAGAGGCCTTCTTTGTGAGTCGGACCACCCATCACTAACAATAGAAACACTCTTTGCTTTCCATGTTAATTTTATGGGCTCTAATAACTTCTCGATATGTGCCCTATCTTTTTGTAAGAGGCTTGTTCTTAGAAGATTGTATCCGGGAGGGATATAACCTCCAAGCGAATTGCTTGTGGCATATTTAAAAGCTTCGATGAAGTATGGATTTCTTACCAAATTGAATGATAAACCCCCCGTGTAAAACATTCGGGCAATGAGACCATGTAGGTGATCTCGGGCTCCACGATTAAAGGATTGTTCTATGGTGTTCCCCTCACTTCTTCTCTTCTTAGAAACTTCTTTTGTGGTAGTTGATGTAGGTAATGAAACACTCTTGCCCTTCTTTGCCTTCAATCTAAGCTCCGCTAGCTCCAACACTTTCTTCATCTCAATAATATTTTCATTCTTCACATTTGTACAACACTTGATTCCAAATAATTGATGTCTTAAGAGATGTGCTTTTACTCTTGAATGAGAACTTTTAAAAATTTCAAGACAATAATTGCATTGTCATTCCCAATTTCCACCGCCTCCCGTGGCTTTTCCAAGTTTTGTGACATATCTCCAAAGAGGAGCATTATCATCCTCTAGCTCGCTTTGTGAACTTGGAGTCTCCATCTAATTGTCTACAATTATTAACAAGAAAATACATGCATATAAGAAATAGGAAGAAAACTATTATTACTTTAATCAACAATTTAGAACTAATAAAATTACCTATATAAACAAATACAAGCATTAAAAATAATTTATAATTCAGCCCCTATATTTGTTCAGTAAAACTGTAAAAGCCAAACCAGCCCCTAACTTTCATAGGAGGAAAAAGGAGAAAACACCCAACTTTCATCGGAGGAAAAGGGAGAAAAACGCCAACTTTCATCGGAGGAAAAAGTAGAAAAAGTCGGGCGCTGTTCTTGCTGTCCAGGAAAAAGGAGAAAAGAGAAGAAAAAGTGGAGCGCTAATCTTGCTGTCCAGGAAAAAGGAGAAAAGAAAAAAAAAATCAAAAACAAAGGCGCTGATCTTTCTGTTCAGGAAGGAGAAAAGGAAAAAAAACAAAAACAAAACCCTAAAATCCATAAAATCAAACCTTGTAGGCGTTGATCTCGTCGTCGAGGAGAGGATTCGTTGTCGAGGCGCTGAAATTGCTTCGTGAAGGCTTTGATTTCGTCGTTGGCTTTCGTCGAGGCGCTGAAATCGGGCGCTGAAATTGCTTCGTTCGGCTTTGATTTCGTCGTCGAGGCAGAATCGCTTCAGAGGATGAGTTATTTCAAGTGGGCTTGAGTTATTGGGCTCAAATAGCGCCCGATTCGGCCTTTCTTTCAAATTTTCAGGTGCGGTTTTTTTTTTCTTCGCTCGCGAGTGAAATTTTGCCGTATCCCTACCGTTTGGGTACGGATCCGCACCCAACACGTACCCGACACGGATACGGGACCTAGATTGAAGTGTCGGGGTAACATAGTCTTGTAGCGAAAGATTCTTGCTCTTCTTCAGAAAGCGGTAAAGCTGGAATCTCTTCGTCATTCTTCTCAGGAATTGCCGAGGTTCCATAACAGGACTTCTCTTTTCCCTTGCCGTTTAATTTCTTCTTCGATGTGGATGTCGTCCACTGTTCGTCTTCAAGCAAATCCGGATGAACCCAAAGGATTTCGCCGTTGGGGGTTGTGTGAGATACAAGCCCCTTTTAGCGCTATCCATGAAGGTCATCGTTGATGGTCTGCATCTTGACCTTTGATACTGGTTCGGCTTGAAACCAGGATAAAGGAACCGATCCGAAGCTGATAGACACTACATTCGCACCTACTTTCTTCTCTTTCGGTTTTGGTGTTACGATTCCAACATCGATTAAGGTTTGTATTTTGTCTTTCAAGACATAACACGCCTTAGTGGGATGGTGGACCCTTCGGTGATATGCACAATACTTCGGGTCGTCGGTCTTCTTTGCCTCTTCGTGGTTTGTGACCTGTGGAAGCTTGATCTTATTGTTATCCAGCAGATATTTGAAGATAACCGGAACTTCATCATCTTTGAATGAATACTCTTTTGGGAATCTGGGCTCTGAAGTCTTAGGTTGCCTCTGAGGCTGTTGATTCTGATTCGGTGCCAATTGGAATGATGACTGCTGTGGTTGTTGTTGTGGCTGTGATGTTTGATGCGCATCAACAGCGGCCCCGGATCCTCTTCCTCTGCCTCGAGAGTTAAAGTTCTGTTTTTGAGTATTAGCTGGTGGTTGACCCCTCTCCAAATTTCTTCGCTTGAGAAAGCGTTCAGCTTGTTCACCTCACTTTCAATTCTTTCCAAGTTTTAGAAGGCGCAACCCCCATGACTTCTAACACATCCAGCGACAAGTTATTGTAACATGTCTGTAGGATGAATTCTTCTGTGAGCGGATCTTGGCAGTTTACCGCTTTGTTCCGGAATCGTTTGACGAAGACATCAACCGACTCTCCACATTTCTGCTTCTCGTCCAACAAGGTGCCAATAGAGACCTCAGTGTCGTCGTCGAAGAAATTTGTGAGAAACAATCCTTCCATATCCTCCCAGCTAGTGATACTCCCGGGTTTGAGGCGTCGGTACCAATCGAATGCAGGCCCACGGAAGGTTCCTACGAATGACCGGACCATCAAGGCTTCGTTTCCGGATATTGCGCCGAGATGTGACTTGAAATAGATCAAGTGCTGAGTGGGTGAACCCCTGCCATCAAAAGGAGTAAAATTAATCAAATTAAATTTTGGGGGATAAGGAATCAGATCCGGAGTAAAATTAATCAAATTAAATTTTGGGGGATAAGGAATCAGATCCCACTCCCTCGGGTACGGGTATGAAATGCCCGTTTTTTTCACTTCTTGGGCCCTCATCAGAGCATTGACCTTGCTCTCAAGATCTTGCATCTTCTTGTCTTCTTCCTCACTCTTCTTTAAATAAATTTGAGGAGGTTGAGTAGATGATTTGGCCGGGCCGCTTACGGAATTGTCTTTATCCGGAGGAGGATCATCAAAGATAGTCTCATCTTCTTCATTATCAACCTCGGTTATACGTACAGGTATAGCGTTACGCCGGCTGGATTCCGCCTTTTGGCTTGATTCCGGTTGGTGTTGCTGAGCCTGCAAATCTCGCATTTGCTGCATGGTCAACTCCATCTCGGTTTTGATTTCAGCTCTAATTTTCTCGCGTTGTTTAGCTAACGCTTCCTGTAGTATCTGAGCCAATTGATCTGGCGTGATTGTGAAAGATTCTCTGGCTCGTCCAACACTGGACGTGGTATCGTCCGATGCAACGGCGGAACAAGTATCTGACAGTTCCTCATCTGAAGATAACCCCTCGTGCATTTTCTTGTAATCTCGACGTCGGTTGGCTCTTCTTTGTAACCGCGACATTCTTTGAGATAGACCCTGCTCAACTCTCCCTTCCGGAGAGAAATCAGGATCAGGGTTGACTAATTGTTGCTTTCCTCTGCCGGTCATGTTAATAGTGACCTCAGGAAATTCATCTCGCCGAATTGCAGGTCTCTTCTTGTTGAAGCGTCTCACTTTGGGTTTTGACGTTTCCGTAGACAGTCTTTGAAATACGGAGACTCTCGTTGAATTAATTTTAGAGCAACCGCATTCTGTCAATACTGCTTTAATGAACCTCTCGCAGGAGCAGTGAGACTCATCTTCTCGGACAATTCTTTTTCTTGAGTTATTTTTCTGATAGTACAACTCATCGTTATTGTGATTTGAGCAACCTATCTCTTGTGTTTGAACCTTGTTAACATGACAGGACGACTAGTCGTTGCCCCTGGGCGATCCAAGGTTGAAGTTTTAAATCCACCCCTTTGCGGGAGTAGAGTCTTCATTGGTCCTAAACGAGAATGAATTGATGTTTTCTCGTTTTGGACTTGTGCAGTTCTGACGGGCGGATATTTACGACCCCCTGCGTAGGAAACCAGTAAGGGTTTATTTGCTGGGTCCGAGTGCTCTTTGATTGGAGTTTTGCCTCGATCGTTAGCCAAAGGACCGAGGCGATCCGCCATTGTAACTTTAAACTTTGACAAATCGGGACTGACCCAGGGTTTCACTGAAAATGCAGCAAACGGGTCCGGAACGGATGTTTGCGGCGTCTTCGGAACCCAAACTTTACGATTCTTTGGTGGTTTTTCAGACACCACTTCCTTCTTGATTCCTTGCGTTTGTTGACGAAGGGCGCGGGCACGGGCGGCCTTCACCTGACGCCTTTGTATACGTTCCTTAAGGGTTGAACGAGCCCTTTTGACGATGGTCCATTCCTCCGTCGTAAGTTGTGCAGAAATATGATTATTTTGTCGTTGAGGTAACTGAACCACTTTATGCTTTCTCGACTCTAGGTCCGCATAATAATGGATCCCGTCGGTTTGTTGCATGGCCTTAGCCAATTGTCGAGCACGGCGCTGGCGCTGTCTTTGACGAGCTCTCTTCGTCAGCACCGGTGAGCTATGATTCAATGACTCCTTAACTGGTGCGGAGTCACTTGGAGCAGAGATGTTGCAGGTAGATTCCTTAGCAACAGTTGGGCAAGAACCTTCACCTGCGGTCTTCATCGAAATTGAAGACTTGGGAACTTTCTTGGAAGAGGAAATCCTCCTGCACTTGCGAGGCGAGGAAGATTTTGAAGATGAGGATGACAGGTACTCCTCGAATTTTGCCTCATCGAATTCATATTCGATCTCTTCAGTGACTATGATCTTGATCGGCTGTGACACTGCGGCCTCGGAAGCGAGGCCGCTGGCTCCCACTGTGGTCGCCAGTTTGTTTTCAGCGAAAGTCATTTCCATTGTCGATTCCATTAAAACTTCAGTCGTTTACAGAAAATTACAATGAAAATAAGCAAAAATACAACTCTCGAGAAAATAACACAGAAATTGTTTATCAACTCCTGCTTTTGTGGGACTTTGCCTGTGCCGGGAGTGCTTTGGCTCGTGGACCACCGATTCACAGATCGTGAGGGGGTTTAAAGATCATTCCTTCGTTTATCGAAGTAAGAATGAAAGTCAGCGAATATCTTATCGATGTAAGATGTTCACTCTTCCAAAGATCAAGTCTGAGCTTAGATCTCTAGGAATCACCAAACGTTGTTTATGAAAGGTGAAAATTCTCTCTTTTCCTTAAGATTATCGAAAGCCCAAGTCTTTATGCTCCAATCTGCTCTCTGTCCTTTATTTCGTGTCTAGGGAGGTATTTATAGGGGTAGGAGTGCATAACAGTGGAAACGGGGGCGAGATAACTGACCAAACGACTGTTCTTTGGCCGCACCAGTCCAAGCTGCCGCGGCTATTGGCGCGGCAGTATGGACTGTCGCGGCCAAAGGAGCGGTTACCACCACGTTTTATTGTGCCTGAAACTGTTCTCCCACGACCTTTAACCACCTTTTTCGTGGTTTAACTGCTTGTCCACGTCAGCACACGTTCTATTTCTGATATGCCTCCACGTGGGCTTCAAAAAATTATCGTATAACTGCCTTGTAACCGCCGCAGCACCCCTTGTAATAGCCGCGCCACCATAGACTGTCGCGCCTTAGCCGCGGCACCATAGGCTGCAGCGCCTTAGCCGCGGCACCATGTACTGCCGCGCCTCAGCCGTGCCGCCATGTACTACCGCGCCTCAGTCGTGCCACCATGTACTGCCTGTTGGTGTGTATTCTTCCATGTTGTCTCACTTCTTTTGAATGATCCCCTCTGATTAAGAGAATGGCGTTTATCGTCTTCTCTTTGCCTTGAGTAGTATTTGGATGTCCGTAAGCATTTTTTGACGCCTACAGTAGGTACCAGATTCCCTACTTGATAAAACAAATTGAAGAAACACTGAAATTTTAAGGAAATACAGAATTAGACTTGCAAGTTTTAATAAACAAATTTTCATCAAAAGAACAAATTTAAATCTGGATGTTTAAGTATAAAGAACTGATTTCACCAATGGATCAAACTGCCTATATAAAGATTGAGAAAATGGAGAGCAAGTAAAGACATGTAATATAACAAGTCTACATTAGATTTATCAAAATGGGTAAGATTGACTATAAATCAGAAAAGGAATAAAATGACAGATTTTGACTCATGGAAGAAAGGATAATATAAGAATGCTAGTTAACTTGTGAAATATAAGGCCTTGAACAAGTAGCTACTTGTTAAATCAACCAAGGCAAGAGAATTAAGGTAGGGACAGCAGAAAATATAACAAACATACTCACAGATTGGGCTAAAGTAATTAAACTAACACATCAAAAGTCAAAAAGCCCTAAAAATACACAATATTACAATCAAGTCATCGACTTTCCCAGTTTTCCAACTCCACTCATGAACTTTCAAATTCCAGTAAACAACAGTGATTTTCAATACTCAGAAGAAACTCCTTGATGGCATTAAATAGTGGGCATCAATTACAATTTTAAAACTTTTTCTGTAATTTTAGCCTAAGGTCTGAATGATCTTAAAAAATCTCGGAAACATGATTTTTAAAACAAATTAATGAATCTCTGATCCCCCAATGGAAACCTAAAATCACATTTGGAATGCATATTTCTCACAATGGAATTCTAGCATACAATGATACAAAAACGCATCAAATAGCATACAAAAAAACAAATACGAGAAAAAGGCACATGCATAGTCCCATAATAACTAATATTTCTGGTTAATATTAATTATTAAATTGTTACACAAACATAAATTTGTCGTGTTTCTTTTTATTAGTTGCAGTAACCAAAATTCCATAACGAAACTAAAACCATCATGAAAGCAAAATCCATAAGAGGCTCCAATCCAACTATCCAAGAGTGATCTTAAGCTATATATCATATAAAACCATGACTACGTATTATTAGCTATGAAGTGTGAGCTGAATTTAATATCATACAAACCAAACAAATGCATCAAGTTTGAGGTAAATGGATTCTACAGGAACATGAAACAAATCACAAAAAATCAAGGTTTTGATCCAAAAACAATAAAGTATTTGTACAAACCTGACTGTGTGGAAATTCGCCTCCAAACAGGAATAACTAATTTCTTCTTATTTTCTTTATGACCCTTTCCTCCTCCCATTTTTGGAACATAAAAAGTGTGATCAGGAAAACACCCCTACGGACATAAAAACAATACCATCATTAGAAGAGGCCATTTGACTTTCCGAGAATGCAAGAAGTTGAAAATAAAAGTAGCTCCTTAAGTCATATGAATGCGAAGAGAAGGCCTGATAAAGATCCCTCCCACTGCACCGAAACTCCAAATTTATGACAAGGGTTAAAGGTTACAATTTGCCAATTTTATACTCGAACATGCCCCTGCATTGATCACCCTTTTTATGGGCCAAAAACCTCGAGTCATGCGACAATATCATTTTTTTCAATCAGATATATAATGCGAACCTAGCTTGCTCTGCTACCATCTTAATGTTCTCTTCCGCCAGACCAAACTCTGAAGCGGTAATTAAGGGTTGAGGACTATCTCTAACAAGTTCAAATAGCTAAATCATAATAGACTACTTAATCTATCCATGAGAAGTGTCATAATGCCCCGAATTTCTCTTGTCCAAGTGTGCTTCACTATAAAGTTTTTTTGCGGTAATTAAGGGTTGAGGACTATCTCTAACAAGTTCAATGCATCGTTTGTGAACCCACGTGAATGAATTCACGTGAACACGTGAAGAGCTGGGGACCACATGTGTGCGTGGGTGAATGAGGTGCATGAAGAGATTAAACGCGAAACAAAAAGCCAGGTGCGGAGATACGGCCCACCCGATTTCTTTAGTCTATAAAATCCTATCCTAGGGTTTCGTGTGAAGATAGGCAGGAGTGTGGGCGGTTGCAAATTGTGTGCTAGTTGGGACTTCTTTGCTGGCGGCTACGAAGAAGAGCAAGGCGAATTTTTTTTCGGTTTCTCTTGTGCGGCTACAGTGCAAGTCTGGGGTTTGCTTCAGCGGCTGCAGGAGAGAGAAAGTGCAGTCCTTGTTTTGTTTCTTTTGAGAGAGATTTTGTAAGAGGGATTTGAGAGTTTGTTTGAGAGGGTTTAGAGTTTGTGAAATTATAAACCCTAGTTGTATCTCTCCCTCTAATAGTAGATCTCCCCCTCCTTGCCCCGTGGACGTAGGCTATTTGCCGAACCACGTAAAAGTTGTGTTCTTGTCGTGATTTGTAATAGCTTGTAGGATCCCTCGACAGGTCAGTCCTAGAACTGATGAGAGGAAGAGCCGATATCTCACTTGGTTGAGATATCCGCTTCAGATTCTTGTTTCCTTGGTGAGACGGGAATTCTTATCGATCTAATCTCTCTTGTTGTGCTGCCGAAGTGCTGCCGAAATTTTCGCTGCGCACAACAAGTGGTATCAGAGCTCCGGGTTGGACTTGGGAGCTTGTTTGAAGGATTCGCTGAAGAATTCCTATTTGAAGATTAGATCGATAATATGGGTGAAACAAGCACATCGGGATCGTCTCTTACGAAGACGATACATAATTTGAGCATCAATAACATGAAGATTGATGTTCCGAAGTTCGACGGCAAGATTAATTTCGGATTGTGAAGGTGTCAGGTGATGCACGCCTTGGACGCTCAGAATTTGGAGGAGACTCTTGAGTTATAAGAGAAACCTGCCGAGATGGAAGCTAAGGTTTGGAAGAAGATGAATAGTAGGACGTGTGGAGTTATTCGGTCATGCTTGACGCCGGATCTTATTTATGACGTGATGAACGAGACATCGGCGAAGAAGATGGGCTAAATACCCATATTGGTATTTTAATTCCATCCTAATTTCCAACAAGGTATTTTAAATAGGCAAACCCTCTTTAAGACATTTTAATTGATCCAACTAATCAATAAGGCATGTTTTCTCGTTGGCGGGCAAATTTCCGACGAGATCTCGTCACGTGCATGGCACATGATGTCTCAAAACTCATTTTTAGCAGCGGCGACGGCAACAATCTCTTCATATTCAGCCGATTCGATGGGGTTAGCGATCTCAGCCGGCGTCATAACCGTTATTTTATCCTACTTTGGGCTGAATATGACGAGATTGTTGTCGTCGCCGCTGTTAAAAATGAGTTTTGAGACATCACGTGCCATGCACGTGACGAGATATCCTCGGAAATTTGCCCGCCGACGAGAAAACATGCCTTATTGATTAGTTGGATCAATTAAAATATCTTAAAACAAGTGGTATCAGAGCTCCGGGTTGGACTTGGGAGCTTGTTTGAAGGATTCGCTGAAGGATTCCTATTTGAAGATTAGATCGACAACATGGGTGAAACAAGCACATCGGGATCATCTCTTACGAAGACGATACATAATTTGAGCATCAATAACATGAAGATTGATGTTCCGAAGTTCGACGGCAAGATTAATTTCGGATTGTGGAGGTGTCAGGTGATGGACGCCTTGGACGCTCAGAATTTGGAAGAGACTCTTGAGTTATAAGAGAAACCTGCCGAGATGGAAGCTAAGATTTGGAAGAAGATGAATAGTAGGACGTGTGGAGTTATTCGGTCATGCTTGACGCCGGATCTTATTTATGACGTGATGAACGAGACATCGGCGAAGAAGATGTGGGAAACGCTCAATAAAAAGTATCTTACTAAGAGCATTGAGAATCGGCTTCACTTGAAAAAGAGGTTTTACCAGTTCAAGATGAAGAGGGGAGTTTCTATTAGGGAGCATGTTAATAACTTCACAAAGCTACTTTCAGACATGGCCAATGTGGATATCATGGTTGAGGATGAAGACAAGGCGATGCTACTTTTGTGTTCGTTGCCCGAGGATGATTATGGTACTTTTGTCCTAACTATGATTAATGGAAGAACTACTGTTAGTTACAAGGAGGTGACCTCAGCGTTGGTGAATTATGAGTTGAGGAAGAGTGTTGATGAGTCCTCCGAGAAGGCATCGGGAGATGCATTAGTAGTTCATGGTCGTGGTTCAAACCGAAGCAGAAGGTCGCGGTCTAGAGGTGCACATCGTGGGATTCATAGGAATCAGTGTGCCTTTTGTAAAGAGGATGGACATTGGAGAGCCGAATGCCCAAATTTAGATCGAGCCGAGAAGAATAAGGGGAAAGCTGTACAAGCTTCAGAGGTAAATGTTGTCAAGACTAGTGGCAACAATTCAGATTCGGATTCTTCGGGCTATTCGTTGTCTGCACTATCGTCAGTTTGTGTTGCCAACTCTACAGAGTGGATGTTGGATTCGGGTGCTTCATACCACGTTTGCCCTAGAAGGGATTGGTTCTCCAGCTTTCAGAAGTTGGAAAGAGAGGATGTTGTGCTCATGGGTAATGAACATGCATGCTCTATTGGTGGTATTGGTACCGTTCGGATTAAGATGAGTGACGGGATGATGCGGGAGTTGGATGAAGTGAGGTTCGTTCCGCAGTTGTCGAAGAACATCATTTCACTAGGAGCTTTGGTGGCATCTGGCTATAAAGTGACCTTGGTGGATGCACGTTTGAAGGTCACATTGGAGTCCATGATTGTGATGAAGGGCGTCAGAAGAAGCAATTTATATTATTTGCTCGGAAGCACGGAGATTGATAGGGAGATGACGACTTCATCAGATTCGGCTAGACTGTGGCGTTATTTGATGCTGGGTTATTTGATTGGTAATGTCGTGTATAGGTTGTTAAGGAGTGCATTGACCTGCAGTTTGAAGTCCTGTGAACCCATTGGTATGAGCAAGAAGACCGAGATGGAGTTTGGCACTTCTATCCATCATTCGAGGGGTCTTCTGAGGCGTGTTCATTCAGGCATACGGGGGCCTTCCAAAGGAGCATTATTGGGAGGTAATAGGTATGTGGTTTCCGCAGTTGGGGATTGCTCTAAGCATTGGTGGGTTGTAACCAAGTCCCGTTGGTGTGAAGTCCTAGAAGCCCGCAACAGATATAGGAAGTGTATTGGTAGAAAGGTGAAGGTACTTCAGTCTGATGTTAGAAGAAGGTACAAGAGGGACCTATACCTGCATTTGTGCCGAGCTCACGGCAATAGGAAACACTTCATTGGTGTGAAAACTTTGAGGCGACGTGATGAGATGGCAGATTTGGGGAGCTGTTCCTTTCTGGAGGAGGATAGACATTTGATGTCGAGCATTGGCATTGGTGTGCGGGCTACGACATGTTTGGGTCGTCTCATGTATAGGTTGCTGACTGCTGCATGTAGAGATATGGGATCTGGTGGAGCTGCTTCAGATTTTGGGTTGCGTCGGATGTTTGGCTACCCAGCACTTGGTCACATCGTGGATGTGAGATTTGATCCGATAGCACATTTGGGATTCAGAGGCGTGTTTAATTATCAGGTATTGGCTTCTGACTTTGTTCTGAGCAGGTATGTCACGTTTAACTCTCGGCAGGTGGAGAGTGGTGATCAGATCATTAGGATATCGCAGCAGGTGGAGAGTGATGCTACTTCACGTTGGGTAGAACTTATTCCACATACTCCAGATCATACTGCGTCATTTGGGATTCCAACTGAGGTGACACAGGTTGGGGATCATTTGATTTCGGATGCAGATGATGGATTGTTTTTGGATTCGGTTGCAGCTGGTGGACTTGATCTGGATACGGCCATTGGTTCACCTCAGATGGAGGTGTTTGATTTGTCTCAATTTGGGGCCATAGAGAGTGCTATCAGTTGCAGATTGTTTGGTGATATTGAAGAAGAGTTAAAGACTTTTCTATTTGATTGAGGGTCTTTGGATGCCATTTGGATGAACTACGTGAAGGCTTGATTCCTTGGGCAAGAGGATACGTAGGCAATCTTTATGATGCAGCCGATTTGGTGAGCGACATCGACATTTGGGGTGAGTGTTCGCACTCCCATTTGGGTCTCAGCAAGTGAGACATTTGGTGTAGTCGGTGTAGGCTCAGTTTGATTTGGTGAGTAGACACTATTTGTTTTGGGTTGAGTGTTCGCACTCCCGTTTGGGTCTCGACCTGTTGTGGATGGAATCCGTTGTCATGAGTCCGTTGCCATGGCGTACTGGATACAACAAGTGAGGCATTTGGTTTGATTGGTGTCGGCTCAGTTTTGGGAAAACTTCGTCGAGGTGGAGAATTGTGAACCCACGTGAATGAATTCACGTGAACACGTGAAGAGCTGGGGACCACATGTGTGCGTGGGTGAATGAGGTGCATGAAGAGATTAAACGCGAAACAAAAAGCCAGGTGCGGAGATACGGCCCACCCGATTTCTTTAGTCTATAAAATCCTATCCTAGGGTTTCGTGTGAAGATAGGCAGGAGTGTGGGCGGTTGCAAATTGTGTGCTAGTTGGGACTTCTTTGCTGGCGGCTACGAAGAAGAGCAAGGCGAATTTTTTTTCGGTTTCTCTTGTGCGGCTACAGTGCAAGTCTGGGGTTTGCTTCAGCGGCTGCAGGAGAGAGAAAGTTCAGTCCTTGTTTTGTTTCTTTTGAGAGAGATTTTGTAAGAGGGATTTGAGAGTTTGTTTGAGAGGGTTTCGAGTTTGTGAAATTATAAACCCTAGTTGTATCTCTCCCTCTAATAGTAGATCTCCCCCTCATTGCCCCATGGACGTAGGCTATTTGCCGAACCACGTAAAAGTTGTGTTCTTGTCGTGATTTGTAATAGCTTGTAGGATCCCTCGACAGGTCAGTCCTAGAACCGATGAGAGAAAGAGGCGATATCTCACTTGGTTGAGATATCCGCTTCAGATTCTTGTTTCCTTGGTGAGACGTGAATTCTTATCGATCTAATCTCTCTTGTTGTGCTGCCGAAGTGCTGCCGAAGTGCTGACGAAATTTCCGCTGCGCACAACATCGTTTGCATGACTACTTGCATATCAATACTTAACTAACAGATACCAGCATCTGGTTCTTCAATTAGAGCCCAACCCAGAAGCTAAACCCCATCCAATCATCAAGCTACCTCCTCAAAATGAAAAGTAGCAGTAAAAACCCTTCCATATTCCTTGAATTTTCACAACCCAGAACCCCAAAAACTAGCATGTTGCAGAAAACCTGCACCTCAAAGTTGCTGCTTAAATCAAAATCCCAAAGTTTCCATAATATCATCAAAATTATTTCGAAATTCTAACAGATTGTAAAGACCCGTCATAAATAAATAGGTGGGGAAAAAGCTAGTTAAAGAAAATTCACCTGATAATTGAATCGCGGGTACAAGATTCTACACGATCGCAGTGGGAATCGAGCCTGCATCCCCCGCGTCTTTCGATTGAAGACGACGAAGGGCTCTCACTCCTCCTGTGAGTTGTGATTGTCAAAATGAGCTGGGCTTTTGCCCTGGGCCCTAAATGAGGCCCAGGTGTCGTCAGGTTTCAAATCCAGTTGAAGTGATCTGATGGATGTTTGGTTGGGTTGTAACAAACCTTGGTCACCAACTTCCGTTTTCGCATAAAAATGTCTCTAGTGTGCACCCCGTGCAAAGCACAACCTCTTTTTTTAGCATTTTATTTTGAACATGCCTCCCTCTAAAATTTAATATATTTAATTTAATTATTATATACTTAAAATTAGAAATTATATCTACTGTTCTATACTTAAAAGGGTATTGTTCTACTTACCCAAAGATTTACTGTTCATGCTATAGTAATTTACCGTGGTATTTACTATAGCATAAACAGTAAATCTTTAGATCATACTTTAAGTATAGAGGAGTAGATAACATATTTTATTAGATAGAAATACTGTGAATTTTCAAATTAGAAAATATTATAGTTACTTGATAATAGTTTCAAGTCCGTGGGACTTTATTGATTTTATCAGAAAATTGTTGCAAGTTTTTCACAAAAGATAAATAAAAGTTCACTGTTTTTAGTTCAAGAATGGTTTTCTGAAAATATGTGATATTTTATACTGATTTGAAAGTTTGTGGTACTGTTATCTAATAAAAATAGTCCATGGTTTATACGAGCAATGTCTCAAATGCTTTTCTCATATTGGATGCTAAATTATATCCTACTTTTTAAATTGGGCTCACAAAATCTTCACGTTTGTAATTAAGGTAATTAAGCACCTTCTTACAAGTAGTGTTCCAGTCTTCGTACTCGTAAAATTTCAACAGTATGGGATGTAGTCACCTCCCTCCTTTTTTAAGGTATATCAACCATCATGAATTCTTTAATTAGGCCAATTGCACGCATTATAGTTTTATAGTTTTCCCTACTTTGCACTTAGGAGCTGTTTGGTTAAAAAAAAATTCCCTTGAAAGCCTGCCAAAGTGTCACTTTTTTGGCAAGTTTTAAGCAAAAACGCCTCTAAAAAAGAGGATTTTACTTGAAAGCTTGTCAACGTTTTTGACACTTTTGGCAGGCTTTCAACAGTAACTTTCCCTCAAAAACAGGGAACCAAACAGCCCCTTACATACTTTCTCCTTGTTTTCTTTTCTGTAGTACTTACTACGCCTATGATGTTTATGGAATATGCATACTGATCTTACTCAGACATTTACAATTACCGGAGTTGACCTCCTTCAATCATACAATAAATTGAAAGAGAGAGAGGAAACGAAAATAATAAAATAATCCTCATCACATTTTAATAAAAGAAGAAAGAGAGAGAGAAGGGTATTATGGTCTTCACATATTTTAATCTCTTGGGTTTTGTGTTTTGGGGCAGAGAGAAGGGTATTATGGTCTTCACATATTTTAATCTCTTGGGTTTTGTGTTTTGGGGCTCAGAGAACAGAATCTTTTGGTCTTCACATATTTTAATCTCTTGGGTTTTGTGTTTTGGGGCTCAGAGAACAGAATCTTTATTTTTGGAGGTAAAACACCCATTGACAAAGTCTTGGCGGTGGGAAGCACGTTTCCTTGGCTTTTGGGGGCTGGAAGCATTTTTCCCTAAATTAAAAACAGTGCAGTGCTCGAACCAATTATTTTTCAACCAAACACTTTGAAATACTTCTTGCACAATAAATTTACATATACCAAATAACAAATTTGAAGTTGATTTCCCAAAAAAGAAAGAAAACGGAACCATCCCTTTTCAGCTCTCTTCAACTAGTACAATTCTATTCATTCCACGCTTCGAGTTCGTATTTGTTCAATTAGGCTCGGGACAATTTGCAAAAAGCTCCTGTACAGACATGCGTCCTACTTCAGCCAAACTCAAAAAGTCTGGAATTGGACCAGGCACCTCAACTTTACATATTGCACCCTCAACCTTGTACTCCCTTCTCTTCCTCGTATTATTGCTTCTCAGCCTTTTGGGTATCAGTTGAAGACTACCCAAATCTTCTTCAAGCTTCTTGATGTGATCAACAATTTTCTTCTCGTCAAAGGAGCAAACCTTTTTCCTCTCACCCTTTCGGGAAATGCGATTCAGAGGTCCCTTCATAACCTGCAGGGGATTATATACTTGAATATTTAAATAGCAAAATTTCACATAACCACAAAAAGCTTGACCCGTTTTTGGGGTCAACGAAAACTTTTAAAAGTACCACGCAACACCAAAAAACTTTTAGGGTTAGATGACAAAACCCTAAAATTTAATTTTCCCTGAGATCATCTATTTATTGCACAAAATACAACATAAAATAATAAAGGGTTTTTGCATCTTTAGTTAAAGACTTGGGGGTTATGTGGTGTTTTTTACCCTGTTCTTGTTTGCGCCGTCGCATGAGAGGAGCGGGTCCTGGGCCGTCGTTGCCATCGGACGCTCTCGTTTGAGTCCCTAGTCAGATCTTGGCTGTGTCTTTAAATAAAGAGCGCAGGAATTCTATCTGGACTAGGACTTAAAAAGGAATGAGTTCTAGCTTTAGTTTTATTTGGAAAATCCACTACTAACTGTTGACCGGATATCCTGACTTGATTAGGACTTCATTTTTATTTTTTTTCCCTAACGCAAAAAATTATGTAGAGAGTATGAACGATGTTATCAATTTTGTATATTAGGATAATGTCACTACTACAATCAGAACAATGTATATGGCCATCATAATTATTGTGGTGTTAGTACAATCAAATTATTGTATTGCGAACTTTAAAGCATATATTGAAATCATCATGTACTTGTTCTATATATGATGTTCTACTCATAGATGGGTCTATATTAGGATAATGTCACTACTACAATCAGAACAATGTATATGGCCATCATAATTATTGTGGTGTTAGTACAATCAAATTATTGTATTGCGAACTTTAAAGCATATATTGAAATCATCATGTACTTGTTCTATATATGATGTTCTACTCATAGATGGGTCTCCGTTTTGCCCCTTAAAACGGTCAAAAAACGGCTATTTTTCGAGGGTTTTTTGGTCATTTACCTAGGGGGCTGCTTCTATAAATAGAGGGGGGGTTTCAATTCATTTTCTCACAACAAAACTCATCTATTTCTCTCTCTACTACTCTCTTATACAATCTTATACTATCTCATACTAATATACTATCCTATAATCTTTTGTATTTTCTAATACTTCCAACAAATGGCTTCTGGGTCTGATTATGAAGAGCAACATGCAACTCCTACCGATCCAGAGATGAGTCCTCCTACAACAACTCCTCATCCTACCGGTGTTAATCCTGAATCTGGTGGCGACGAATCTACGGCACCAAGAGCTCCAAAAAGGCCGAGGTCTGATGTATGGAATTTTTTTGAGAAGATAGACGTCACCAAGGATGAACACGGTAGGATCATCTCTCAGAATGCGAAATGTGCGTTGTGCGGCCAGATATTCAAAGCTCATCATAAGAGCGGCACCAACCATCTCAAACGGCATATTGAAAAACACAACAAAGGCCAAAATCTACAAGGTGATATCCGGCAGTCTATGCTTTCCCAATCATCCTCTTCAGGTACCCTCGGCAGTTGGAATTATGACGCTGCCCGAGCCCGGAAATGCGTAATCAGGTTTATTGTTCTTAAAAACCTTCCTTTTAAATTAGTAGAAGATGATGAATTTGAAGATTTATTTAGAGATGGTTTTTATCCTGCATTTACAAAATTTTCTCGTCAAACCTGTCAACGTGATATTTTAAAATATTATGTTGAGGAACAGGGAAAAATAATTTCTTATTTTAAAAATTTAAACTGCAAATTTTCTTTAACTTCTGATATTTGGTCATCTAGAGTGCAAACTGGTTATTTATGTATAACAGCACACTGGATTGATGAAAGTTGGAAAATGTTTAAAAGAGTTGTTTCTTTTATTGCAATTGAAGAGTCACACACTGGTATTAATGTTGCAAATTTAATTGTTGAAGAACTTATGAAACTAGAAATTGATCAAAGAATATTTACTCTTTCACTAGATAATGCAAGTAATAATAATGTAGCTGTTGATTTTCTGAAAATAACTTTGTCATTGCCATGTCATGGTGAGCTTTTTCATGTTAGATGTATCTGTCATATTTTAAATTTAATTGTTCAAAGTGCATTTTCTGAAATTAAACCCATGATAGAAAAAGTTAGAACAGTTACTAATATGCATAATGCTTCTGAAATGAGAATTAAAAGATGGAAACAATGTTGTAAAAGAAAAAATTATAAGCCTAGACTAATTCCAAAAGATGTTGACCATAGGTGGAATTCCACCTATGCAATGTTATCTGTAGCAATAGAATATAAAGAAATTATAAATGATTTTATAAATTTTTATGCTTCTAGTTCTAGCTCTGGTAGTGCTTATGGAATAACTGAAGATGAATGGACAGTTATATGTAAATTAAATGAGATGTTACAAGTTTTTTATGATGCTACTATGTTATTATCTGGTTGTTATTATCCAACTATTACTTTAGCTGCTTTACAAATTTTAAATATTCAAAAAAATTTTACAAAATATCGTATGGATGATATTTTTGGAAGTATAATTTTTGAAATGGAGAGTAAATTTAATAAGTATTTTAGGCCTATTCCTCATATTTTTGGTATTGGTGTTCTTATTGATCCATGCTTGAAGGAAATTGGCCTTCGAAGTTTGTTACAATCATTGTATGGTGGACAGATTATAGACTTAGATGATGGATCCACCCTTACTGCTACTACTCATTATTTAGCTATTAGAAATTATTTTCAAACCTTATATGATGAGTATGCAGCTAGATATGGTGTAGCTACACAACAGTCTTCAGCTTCGGCACCTTCAGCTTCGAGCACAGGTCGAGGTAAAAGTGTAAGTTTTGATAGGTATGCAATGGTAGCTGAACTAACTGGTGGATCTGGAACTTCATCAGGATTAGATGTTTCTGAAATAGATGAATATTTTTCTGCTTCTTTAGTTAGATGTCAAGGAAATGCTTTAGATATTTTGCAATGGTGGAAAGTATATGGATCAGTTTCATATCCTATACTTTCCACCATGGTTCGTGACTTACTATCAGTGCAGGTTTCGACTGTAGCCTCGGAATCCGCTTTCAGCACAGCAGGACGTTTGATCGACGACCACAGGACATGCTTAGATCCGTATACTGTACAAGCGGTGATGTGCTTACAGGATTGGTGGAGATACGAGAAGCGAACACAAGGCATCGAACGGATTGCTATGATTGAAGATAAATTTGAAGAGTTGGGACTAGCAGATAGATATAATGATTAGATAATATTCATAAAATTGTAATTTTTATTTCTTAGCTTTAAATTTGAATTAAATTATTTCGAAAAAAGTTGCAAATGATAGTGATATGGGTGAGTAGGTGCCAACCTAGTTGGGATGTACTCATCTATTGTGATGCGACGAATTTCGAAATAAATTTATACTTGTAAAGGATTTACCGATTATTAATAAAGAAGTTATTTTTATCATTTTTTGTACTTGTAATTTATGTCATTTCATTTCAAGTTATTAATAAAATTTATGACATTTTTTATAATAATTTATAATTTATGGTTTTGTTAAAATTTAAAAAAATAAAAAAAAACAAAATTTAAAAAAAAAACAAACCGGGCCGGCCCGGTGTCCGGCCCGCTCAGGCCCGGGCCCGGGCCCGGGTCCGGGCTTGGGTTTTGCCCGGCCCGGGCCCGGTTTTCCGGGCCGGGCCGGGCCCGCCCGGCCCGGATGGACAGCCCTAGTCTTATGGGATATTTAAATCTATTTTCTAATGGAAGGAGTTTGAGTTATAAACATGATCATCAATTAGAGTAAAATATAGATTTCATCTAAGGGGGTGTTTGGTTCAATTTCTAGAAATTATAGAAAATATTTTTCACTTAAAATATGATTTCCTTGTATTTCTTAAAAAAAATTATAGGAAAAGTTTTGAGGAATCAAAAAGTACCAATTTTCTTGTTTTTTGTACTTTGCTTGTTTGGTTCAAAACAAGAAAATGACTCATAATTTTATAGAAAATAACAAGATTTGGTAGGTTTTTAATTAAATATATGGTATGTGTCAGATTTCTGGTGATTTCCTCTCATTTTGAGAGGAAATTGCTTTTTGTAAAATTTGGTAGGTTTTGATATTTTATAGAAAATATTTCTGTAAATTTTTTGTTGAACCAAACACAATTTACAGAAATCTTTGAAAAACTTTTAATTACAAATTTGCCATTGTCAGATGTTTTGAGAAAAGTTTTCTCAAAAAGTGTGCAACCAAACAACCCCTAAGACGGAGTAACAGGTTAAGTTGGTTAAATGTGAGTAGAAATCGGGTAAATGCATCTAACTGAACCTGATCTCAAAATCCTTGGATTAGACTTTGAATTTTAGTTTCTCTTCTTCTGCATATAACACATATTTTACAATTTGGCTGGCTGGACCATCTCAGGATAACAAGCTGGCTCGATCAACAAGGTTTGCTTTGTTGGAAAGATGATACACAAAGTAGCGAAATTTGCATATCATGTAGATTAATAGAAATTAATTAAGTTTAGATGAATACCTAAAATGCTTTCCAAATTTCTTCAACAATCTGTCCTAAAATCAATCCGAAATAACTTTCTCAAGAGAAAACACCTCCAACTGAAATCCACCTGTCATTGAAGAAGAGCAATATTGAAAGATAGATACTCAATTTTCTATTTCTTTATTTCTTGTTCTTCTCAAAAGGCTATCTCTGAACCCTATATATAAGATTGGACTTGCCTTATAGATTTCAATTTCAAAATAATTCTTAATTGTTTAAAACTCTTTCCATAACAATTAAAGATAAAATAGTCTTTCTATAATAATTAAAGATAGAACATTCTTTCTATAACAATTAATAATAGAAATAGAATTGTATTGCATGTAAACCTCTTCTAATGACATTAATGAGACCAATTTGGCTCCAAATCGAGAATCAATTATTAATCAAATTAATAATTTTAATTTAACAATCAAATTCCTATTTAACCAACTGTTCATGAAAAGCTCCTCCATAATATGAGATTAAATATTCGTAAATAATATTAGTCCCCTCTAGTATAGATTTATTATAGGTAACTTTATTGAACAGGACAAATCACCTATTACAATCCCAGCGAACATAAATAAAAATCATTTTAAAACATCAAAATATTTTATTTTTATAAGAAACTAAATTTTGAAAAACACTTTTTAAAATCACCCATCAACAGGCATTTAATACAGTCATGGGATGTGCATAATAAGTTAACTCATCAAAATGAGTATACTTGATCACATCTAGATATTCATCATTTTCATAAATGAAATCTAGTAACACGGTATTTCAGGTTGTATAGCACTTGTAAAGCAAGTTTATCCATCATATCAAAGTATATAAATTATCAAATAAAAAATAACAA